ACCCTTGAGATCACGAATTTTCATGCACTGGGCCTCTAGTTATTTTAATAATAGTAAATACCCACATGTGTCTGGCCCCAAACCCGGTGCTCATTCTACTGCAACCCACTGCATTCACTGATTTTTTCCCTCTCCCCTTGCCACCTATATTCTTCTTTTCTTTCTTTCTCTTCTCCAGTTTCCTTCACCTTCCTTCCTATCACACATCAGTAAGCACACACACACCTGCCTTACTACACTTTGTATCCATCTGTCTGAGTCTTTCCCACTGACGTTTACTAGAGCCGCAGGGACTCAGAGAAGAGCGAGGAGAGCCTGCCATGGCCTCTGCATGAGTCACCCTTCGGCGGAGAGCTCAGTCTTCCCGGCTCGCGTGTTATTGCTTTTGGTTTGCCTGTTCCTGCACCGAGCCAACAGGTCGGCGTGTCTCCGGTAGTTAAGCGAGTTAAGTGTAATTTCCCTGTTTGGGGTTTTAGTTGAGTTTGGAGGTTACAGGAGGGACAAGCTGCGTTAGGCGTAGCCAGTGAACCGCCATGTGATGCCTTTCACTTCGGAATTAATTCCCTGGATCAAGTGCCCTTTCTGGCAACAAGATAAACAGGTTCAGCTAGAGGTTTGGCTGGTTGGCTTGGAAGCCCTTTAGCACCGCGCTCACCTCCATCCACCCCAGGCCCCGGCCCTGGTAGGAGACAGTGGCGGGCATTGTGTGCTCGCCCAGGCTTCACACCCACCGGGGACCTGAAAGACAGACGCTGCGGACACTGCACAGATCTCTCCGTAGACCTGCAGGGCCGGGCCAAGAGGCTCCTCACACCTGCGCCCAGGGGCTACGGAAAAGGCTTCTGTACCCACCCTCACAATTCAAACTCCTGAAACAGGGCAGGTGGAAGCCGCTGGCGGCAGAGGCCGGCAGAGGCTTCGGGGTAAAGTGGGGCTGTGCTGGCATCTCTTAAGCAGTTGATTCTGAGAAGCCTTTCTTCTACGGCCATTGCTGTTTCTAGAAGAGTTCCGAGCCTTGGGCGCCTTTGCTGTCCTTCCTGCCCTCCTCCATGAGCCCAGGGAAGGGCTTCCCACTGACTTGTCAAATCTTCTTCTAATAATGTTTATTAGTTTGGATTTTTTCCAAGAAGGAGATTTCTTTGGGCTTTATTTTTATTGTTGTTGTATTGAAGTATGATTTACAAACAGTGAAGTGCTCAGATCTTAAATATATTGTTTAATTGGTTTAGACAAAGGTGTACACGCTTGTGTAACCCACACTCCTCATCGCCCCAGAAAGTAGCATAACTTTTTCAAGTAAAACCCAGAAAATAAAAATAAAAAAAGTAAAACCCAAGGCCATTCTCTGTGGGTCTTTGATAGAAGTACCCACTTCCACTTCACAGAATTCTAGCGATTGCATTAGCTAAACGAGTAACTCGGCTTAAAATTTTTTTTTTCTTTTTATTGAATTGATTGGGATGAGGCTGGTTAACAAAATTCTACAGGTTTCAGGGGCACAGTTCCACAGCTCATCATCTGACGCTGTATTGTGTGCTCACCACCCCAAGTCACTTAGAACGTTACCTTCACGTTTTGTCGTACTTTTCAAACGGGGGCAAAATGTAGAGGTCACTGCCCCTTTATGGGGAAACGGCAGCTCAGAGAGAGAAAGGCAGCTGCTAGAAGTCACTCTGCCTGGGACACCCTGCCCCCAGGTGGCCCTCCTGGTCTCCTGGCGTCCAGGTGCCTTCTCTCTGGGAGGCTTCCCTCCTGGGGCGCGGGGGAAGTAGAATGCACCAGGACTCCGCTGTACCCCACCCCGGGATGCAGCCTTTACAGGGGCCTGTGTATTCCAGAAGAGCTTTCCGTCTCACTGACAGAACATTTTCGTTCATTTGAACCCATTCCTTCTTGCAGGCCCCCACCCCCACCCCCAGATCCTGCCACCACAGTCTCAGCGGGAGATGCGGGGAGTAAGGGGAAGACCCTGCCTGCCTGGGGCTCTGCAGGCCTGGATGCCATGGCCCGGCCCACCCAGGCCGGGAGGGGGTTCCACCCACGCCGGGGACAGGGGTGTCCAGAGCTGCAGTGGGTCAAACGGACAGCGACAGCGAGAGATGCTGCTGCTGTGGCAATGAACGCGGAAATCTCCTTTAGGAATCGTTTACAAAAAATCATTTTAATGACCATGCTGACCCCTTAACTCGAGGCCATCTGTACTCTCCTGGAGCAGGTATTCCTAAAATGCCACTCAGTGTCTGTGTCTCTCCTGCCTTCATTCAATTGCGCAACTGTGTATCCCTGATCAGACCCCGCTGGCAGCGTGGGAAACAGTTGACAGCGCTCCTTCCCGCGCTCCCCCCGCCCCCCGCTCCCCTCTCCGGGTACTTTTTGTATCTTATGAGAACTTCCAGTAAGGAGCTATTTTCGGTGGTTGAGGGAGCGGGTCAGGAGTGGGAGGGGCCAAGCCCGCCGGGGCCAGGAGAAGTATTCAGAAGAGTATCTACCTTCCATTGATCTACACTTGTCCTTCGCCAACTTGACTGCTCTTGGGAACCACGGGGGGAGCTTTAAAGACTAATGATGCCTGGATGTCAGCGCGCAGGTCTGACTCCGTGATTCTGGGATGCCGCCTGGGCATCTGGATTTTGAAGCTCCCCCGGCTGAAAACCACTGAAGTAAATTCCTCCCTCCTCTTCCCTCTCCGGCACAATCAGATTCTCAGTCCAGGTCCTTGGCCCTGGGGATCGGGCTCCTATCCCTTCGCAACCTGCCGGCTCCGCACGGTCCCGAAAAATCCGCGCGCGCGACCACGCCAAACACGCCGCGGCGGCGGGCGGGGCGGGGGCGTGGCCGCGCGTGGCCCCGCCTCCTGTACGCCTATCGGCGAGCGGTGCGGGCCCTGACGTCACTCTTGTCAGGGCCGCGGCACATGGGTGGCCGGATGCGCTGAGCCCGGCGCTGCGGGGCCGCGGGGCGCAGGGGAGCAGCGGCCACCCGCGCGGGGAGGGGGTGGGGTGGGACCGCGCGCGGCCTCGGGTGCTGGCGGGACGGGGCCGCGTTGGCGCGGTGTCTTCCGCCCTTCTGCGATCCTCTGCATATTTTGTCTTTTTTTTTTTTTTGCAATTTTAAACATTTTGCAAGGCGGTGGGTTCAAGACAGGTGAGAGCATCCCGCAGGTCGCCGCCCAGGAGCCGGGGGGCACTTGGCGCGCTCTCCGGAGACAGGCTGCACTGGAAACCTGAAAGTTTTTGGCTTTTATTTTTTATGCAGATGCACTTATAAAGATACAAGTACATTTTTGTTCTTCCCTTGTCTCCAAGCGAGTACTTTTGGCAAAGGACGGAGGAAAAAGCTCAGCAGCATTTTGGGGGGCGGTTGTTGTTTTTTTAAGAAAAATATTTGCATCGCAATGGAGAAAATGTCCCGACCGCTCCCCCTGAACCCCACCTTTATCCCGCCTCCCTACGGCGTGCTCAGGTCCTTGCTGGAGAACCCGCTGAAGCTCCCCCTTCATCCTGAAGACGGTGAGCGCTGCCCTCCTGACTGCCCCGCTCTGGGAGGGAACGACGCTCCTGGGGTCCCCCTCCTTCGCAGGGCACCCCCCCTCCCCGCAGCTAGCTCGCTGGAGCATCCATCTCCCTCCGTTCCCAGGGACCCTGGCCCTGCTTTAATGACATAGAGGAGCTCACCCATCACCCCACCTCTCCTCGAAAAATGGGGACCCCCCTCACTGTGCAATGTTTAAAATAGTGCTGGGGACCCGGCCCGGCCTCCCTGGGTCCCGCTCCGGCTGCGCGGGTGGGAGATGTAACTTGACAGGTCAGTGTTTCCCTGTCTGAGGCTTAGGCGCCCGCAGGGAGAAACCGCCCGCTCCAGGGCAGAGCTCTGGCTGGGGGAGGAGAAATCAGGGTTCTTGCTTCCGAAGGGGTGGAGGCCCGAATGGGGGGCCTCACTGCCTAGGCCGAGTATTGGGATCATATATTGTTTTCTGTTATTAATTTCGGATTTGGAGCTCACGAGGTGTGCGCGGGAGACCCGAGTTCTCCAAGTGAAGGAGTAAATTGAGAAGCGGGGGGTGGGGGGGGGAGGTGAGAGCTGGGGGGGGGGGCGGGGATGGGGGTGAAGGGGTGCTGTCTCTCAGCGGGAAGCCGTGCACGCCTCCAGCGCCGACACTCGCCCGCTGCACTTTCTCGGTGGGAGGGGAGCGAGGAAGGCTCACGTGTAGCCGCGCGGGAGCCTCCTCTGGCCTGAGCCCTTTCCCGGTAAGTCCCAAACCTTCCCCCGTGGCCTTGGCTGCAGCGGGACCTGACGGAGGGGTCAGGGGTCGCGCAAGGAGGCGCTGAACCCAGCTGGTACCGCCAGGGATTTGCGTTTGGGCTGATCCCAGTAGCAAATGCAGACCCTGTGTGGCTCGGAGTGTAAGGTCCAAGAGATCCTTCGGCTGCGAAGAGCTCGGGCGTGCTCGCATCTTCTTGCATCTTCTTTCCTGGCAGGGGCCAACCTGTTGCATTGCACAAGTTGAGGGGTTCCTTCTTGGTCACAGCTTTCCACGGAACTCGCCTTGAAGGAGTAGCGCTTGGCAGGGAGGTGCTGCCTGCAGTCTTTTTTGCATCCGTGGGTGTTTTAAGTCAGATTCTCCGGAGCTGAGACTGTAGAGGATTAGAATGGATGGCGGTGGAGGCTGTGTTTCTCCGAGGAAGAAACTCAAAAGCCAAATTCCTTAATCCCAGATTCCACCGGCGCCTGAGTACTAGACTTGGCAAAATTCTGAGCGCCGGTTACAGCCCTCCTGGGGGGAGGCAGTGCTTCCAGGTAAAAATAGCTGCACACCTCCATGGTAGAGATGCCAAGGGACCACCTTGTCCATTAGCTGTGCTTTAACAGCGTGTGTACGTGTGTAATTTTTGTGAATCAGGTCATACTTATGTGTTTAGGGGAAGAGGCTGAAAACACTTTGTATTTTAAAAAAAAGAAAAATAAAAGAAAACTCCTTTTGTAAAATCCAGTGTAGCCCAGTGGATTTAGAAGCAAAACCTGAGCTTAGGCGGTGTTCTCAGTTGTCTTCTGTGCCAACATGAGGCGTTGGTCAAGTTCCTTCCGGCTTAGAGCCTCCGTGTCTTCATTATAAATGGGGATAATCACGATTTGCAAGTTGGTTCTGAGAGTTTGGGAGTTAATATATGGAAAGGACCAGGTATGTAGTAGGTGCTCAATACACAGTTTCAAAGAAGGGTGGAGAGTCCCTGCTTTAGCAAAATTAGAGTCACCAACTCCCCGGCTTTCCACGTCCGAACGACTTCATATTGTTACGGTGATGACCTTCCTGGATGCTAAATCATGCCTGGTTATTGCCCTTTTCCTTAAAAATCCCAGCAGTTTTATATAATTGCAGGTGTTCCTTTCCACTGTGGCTTTAAATGATTTGCCTCCTCAAATAATGCCCCAAAGACTGTGCCCTCTTGTTTACGTCCCAGAGCAGTCTGTCTCCCTGACCCAAGGACCAGCGCTTTCTTTCCAAAGTAAATAGGAAGATATTGAAAAACAGGCCAAGATCCATGTCCTGCCTGAACTTTTAACTCTAGATCCACAAAAGCCGGCGGCCAGACAACCCTGGTGTTTGTGACCAGTAGCTTTGTAGCAGAGGCCGGGAGGGGTGGTGAAAAAGCCGCACGTTTTCTTTGTTGAAGTCCGACTCTCCCCTTTCCCCGCAGCGTTTCATAAAGACAAAGACAAGGACAAGAAGCTGGACGATGAGAGTCACAGCCCGACCATCCCCCAGTCCGCCTTCCTGGGACCCACCTTATGGGACAAAACCCTTCCCTATGACGGAGACACTTTCCAGTTGGAGTACATGGACCTGGAGGAGTTTCTGTCCGAAAACGGCATTCCCCCCAGCCCTCAGCATGACCAAAGCCCGCACCCCCCGGGGCTGCCGCCCGCCTCCTCCGCTGCCCCCTCCGTGGTGGACCTCAGCAGCCGGGCCTCTGCACCCCTTCACCCTGGCATCCCGTCCCCGACCTGTATGCAGAGCCCCATCAGACCAGGTAACCTCTCCGAGGGCTCTCCCTCCTGACTCCAGGCGGCGGGGAGGGCTAAGGGAGGGGCGGGGGGGGGAGGGTAAACTTCATTGGGGGACTTAGCTCGCTCTGAAAGAGGAGCCTTGTACAGGGTGGGGCAAAGGTAGGTGTACAGTTGTTCGTCTGGAAAATGGTACAGGGATGAATAAATACTCAGACAAGAGTAAACCCTGTTTGGTGCGCTCACCACTGTGCACCTGCTTTTGCCCCAAGCTGTTCCACCCTCAGCAGCCGTGGTCCCACTCCAGGGAGTGTCTGCATCACCTGGGGAGTCGGCTGAATGCAGACCAACCCTAGAAATGCTGGGTTTTCAGGCCTGGGGTGGGGGCCCAGGAATATGCATTTTAACCAGCTCCCTGGGGGATTGGATGCCGTTGGTCCAAGGATGGCAGTTTAAGAAACACCAACTGACAGGTGGTGATTTGGAGAATTCAGCATCCCTCTCATCTCCTGCCCCTTGTCCGCATCCCCCAACTCCCAGGATATGAGGCTCGTGCTCAGTGATGTGTGGAGACTCTATAAGGCAGTGGTTTACTTACGTCCACCCTTGTCTGGCCTAAAGGGAAAAATGATGTGAGTTAAGGGTGTGGGGCAGAGAGCCTTTTTATCTTTTCATCTTGCGTTGTCACGACTGAGAAATGGACTCTCAGACCCCTCTCCTAGTGAGTGCGACAGCCTTTTCCAGGACCAGGCCCCACAGTTCTCTCTTTAGTGTTCCTCTAGAGCAGTGGTTCTCAACCTTCCTAATGCCGCGACCCTTTAATACAGTTCCGCATGTTGTGGTGGCCCCCAATTTCATTGTTACAGATTGAACATAATTAAAGCATAGTGATTAATCACAAAACAATATGTAATTGTATGTGTGTTTTCCGATGGTCTTAGGCGACCCCTGTGAAAGGGTCGTTCGACCCCCAAAGGGGTCGCGACCCACAGGTTGAGAACCGCTGCTCTAAAGCAAGTTGTCCTTACATTTCCTTTTGTCATTTTCCTCTGTCTGAGCACACTGAATCCACTTTTATCAATGCCTGCAAGGCCACAAGGTCGGCTGTAAATGGTGTTGAAATATTACAAAAACCATCCCCTGAAATGACCAGGACTTCAAAACCCACTGCTGAGTGCTCTGATATACACACGGGTAGAGGCAGCTGTGGCTCCGTGCCTGTAGCTCCCTGTAGTTCAAAAATGAGCAGGAAGAAAGGCCGTGTTTTGTGCACAGGTAACCAGGAACAAAGATTCAGCCAAATCCATTGTCAGGAAGGCCGCGGAGCTGAGGCCTTCGCTGCAGGGGAAGACAGAAAGCAGGACAATGGGAGATTGTGCTAGAGATCATTCCGGAACCCGGCGTCCTCCATGCGACTGGGGAGAATTTCTGTGACACACAGAGCAAGTTTAAAATGAAGGACATGCAGCAAAGGAGGAAGAGCGCCCCCCTGCCTTGAAATGTTAGTGTTGGGGTTAAAGTTCTCCCATTCATAGCTCTCTGTGCTGGCCCCCTCCTCCAACACCTACTTTGAATGATAACCCACAGCTACTGGCTGGCATGGAATTCAGTCTTAACCTCTGACCACCCAGGAGGCTGCGGAAGCTCGGGAAAACACTCTTTTATGTGACCCCGAGCCCCTGGTACTAAGAGCGTACAATGCCACTGTCTTCAACTTCTTCCCGGGGACAGACAAGCAGCAAAACAAACCACCCTTCAAAGTGGCACAAAACCAGGGAGAAGGGGGCAGAGCCCCAGTGGGAAGGCACCGTTGTGCCTCAGGCTTTCTGCTCTGCGGAATGGGACGTGCCACTTCGTAGCCCTGTGGCCATTCACAGGGACAGCCTCTCGGTGCCTGTTTCCCTTTGTGTAGAATGACAGAACGTCTACTTCAGTGGTCAGTAAACTCATTAGTCAACAGAGCCAAATATCAACAGTACAACGATTGAAATTTCTTTTGAGAGCCAAATTTTTTAAACTTAAACTATATAGGTAGGTACATTGTTATTAACTTAATTAGGGTACTCCTAAGGCTTAGGAAGAGCCACACTCAAGGGGCCAAAGAGCCGCATGTGGCTCGCGAGCCGCAGTTTGCCGACCACGGGTCTAGTTGATTGAGCTGTTGTGAAAAGTGGAGGTAAGGTACATAAAAGGTGCGGTGACTGGCATAAATGTTCTGCTCACGAGAGCAGCGATGGCCGTTGTCATATGTGTGTCAACTTTTATCATTCAGTTCGATCCCTGTCTTCTGAAATGCCTTCTTAGAGTAACGAGGTACAGTATGCAGCTACTTCGTCTGGGGAGAACTATCAGGAGGTGTGGACCAGTCGTTATTGGAGTGGGGTGCTTGAACCCTACCACTTACAATCAACCCTCTGCCAAATACCATGTTAGAAATACTGTATGTTTTCCCAGGAGGTCTGCAAATATTGGGCCCCACACCTTGGTTCATTAGGATCCGTGTTCATCAATGACTCAGGAAGCCGAGGTGCCCCAGTCCGATTCGCAGCCCATAGCTAGGACTCCTGGTTTCAGCACTGTCACTGGTTAGGTTGTGGGGGGAGGAGAGGCACTAGGACCAAAGGGGTCCCTGGGGTCTATACACAAACTCTTCATTGACAGGTCTTTTTTTGATCATGGAAACACACTTCAAAATAATCTCCTTCTTTGAATTGAAAACACAATGATATTCCTAACAAAAAGGGAAAACATGAAAGCTCTTCTTCAGATCCCAAATGCAGATGAAATGCCCTCTGCTGTTGATCCTTCCAAAGATCATGATACAAACTAGAGCTCTCAGGGGGGTGGGCCTGATGCAGGGCTCCTCATGAGCAAACTGGCAAAGGAGAGCGTGCTCCATTGTCCTGTGTCCTCACAGTGGTGACCAGGATGGAAATGCCAGGTGAATCTTGAGGAAAATAAATCCTCAGAAGGGAAGGGCACAGAGGTAGCCTGGAGCATTCTGGGAATTGTGTAATCTCAGTCTAGAGCAGGACTTCCCCACCTTGGCCATGCTGCTGTTATAGGTAAGTCTTCATTGTGGGGAACTGTCCTGTGCATTGTAGGAAATTTAACAGCACACACACACACACACACACACACATTCACACAATCACACACTCACACCCTCTCACACACTCACACTCACACTCACAAACACACACATACTCACACTCACAAACACACACACTCACAAACACACACACACACATTCACGCACTCACACACACACACACTCACACCCTCTCACACACTCACACTCACACTCACAAACACACACTCACAAACACACACACACACTCACACCCTCTCACACACTCACACTCACAAACACACACATACTCACACAAACACACACACTCACACCCTCTCACACACTCACACTCACAAACACACACATACTCACACACACACTCACACACACACTCATACACTTATCCACACACGCTCATCCATCCATACACACACACACACACACTCACTTATTCTCACATATACTCTCACACTGGCACATACACTCTCACACACACACACTTAGATACTTCTCCACACACACTCACTTATTCACACATACTTATCCACACATACACACACTCTCTCTCTCTCTCTCTCACACACACACACACACACACACACACACACTTTAGCTGTGACAAGTGAAAATGAATCCAGTCGCTGCCAGGTGTCCCCTGGAGGCAAAATCACGCCTGTTGAGAACTGATGTAGACTTTCCACGTGGACAGCAACCTGGGGCCTGAATTCGGACCCTGTCACACACGTGGATGCTTTGACCTCCTGTAATGCTCTGTGGCCAAACTCTCGAGAATGTCAGGAGACATTAGGTTTCAAGAAGAAATGTAATGTTAATAGAGCACAGGTGTACACTTTTAGTTTATAAAAGCATGGCATCGGTGAACCAGGAGACATTTTCAGAGCCGTTTTGTTAAACATTCGTTTTCTGCTGTTGCATCTTCCGCATTATGCTAGGGAGCACGTGTCATTAGGGCTCTCCGTGTGGCGGAAAGGAAACGAGGCCAGGAGGTAGCACATGGGGCATTTCTAGGTCTGCTCAAAGCATGTCTTGGAATGACAAGGTGAGCGTTCCTGTGGATTCTCATACTATCGACCGTGACTGGCCCCCACCCCCTTTCCTATTTGGCACACCCGTCCTTATTTCTCTGTCTAGCTCTCTGATCAAGAAATGAATCAAGTGTCTGGAGAAATATACTTTGCCTTGAAGAAATAACCCAGGGACCCTGCACCCTCCTGTGGCTCTGGGGTGCCGTGTGAATCTGGGTTCACAGCTTCCTGGGCTGACATCCTAATGAAAGAAGAGGAGCGATGGTTGCTGGATGCTCTAGTCTAGCACCTGCTCGGGCAGCTCGGTCACCTGGGTGCAGCCTCCTGGGTGTCCCAGGCAGCAGAGGCAGGAGTCGCCCTGACCACATGGGTGATTGTGTTCCAGGTGCCATCAGGAGTGGTACTTGGAAGCGCCGGGTCCTGGAAAAATAAGAATCTGTTTGCCCGGAGGATGGAGCGGCTGCTGTAAGGACAGCAGTCCCTTTAGGGAAAGTCGTCCACAGCAGACAAAGGCTGAGTTATTTTTAAATCACATGCTGTAAAGCCAGAGTTGAAATCGTTTCCTCTGGTGGTTTTTCTTTGAATAGCTTGGGGGTGTCCTGCCCTCGTAGACCCATACCCAGCTGAGGGTTGGGGAGCCTCCCTTTCCGGGTCTGAGCACAGAGAGCGTGTCAGGATGAAGGCCGCCTACGGGTGACGAGAAAACTTCCAAGTAGTGGTGGTGGTGGGGGGGAGGGGGGGGTAGAGGAGGGAGGGGAGCATCAGGGAGCCCCCAGCGTGCCCATGTGAGACGGAATGGGCGTGGTTTCTGCTGGCCTTGCCTTGGGAGAAGGTCTTGGCCTGGAAGGAAAATGCTGACTGTGGGTCTGAGTACTGACGGCAGGAGGTCGTGTGCTGGTGGCTCTGG